TGGCTTGCTGCGGGTGCTGGATCGCCGTCCCAGACGCGGCTGGGCGTACCGCTGGGCTAACTGGTGACCTGCCCGCGGTACTGCGCGCAGTCATGCATGCAGCCATGCGCTGGCGCGCTGCTGCGGTACCGTTGGGCCTGAACTGATCGCAGGCGTGCACTGGGCAACGCTGCGGACAACCACTGAATGCGTACTGCACGCTGGCGTGCGTCACGGTACGCTGACTGGCATGACAGGGGAGGGTTGACATGCGCACGCGCATCGCCAACGACTATTAGTTGTGGGCACTGGCCTTACGCAGCACTCTACCGCGCAGTCCCTGCACCGTGCACCTCTTGCCGGTACGCTGTTACCGCGATGTGCGGGCAGCGCACACCCGACCAACTCCCGTCGGCCGTCCGGCGTTTCCTTCCGACAACCTCAACATAAAACAACTTCTTCTGACTCAACATGAATATAATTATAAAAATGACTTGAAAACGTAACTTTAGCACGATCAACATGAAAGGGGCCGTGGCGAGCGCGCCGTGCGCCGCCGACGGCTATACGCCGTCTCCCGACCAAAACACCTTCTCCCCCGGCAACTCCTGAACAAATAAACATGAACATTATCTCGAGGCAATTTAAGACATAACTGCATGGAAAGACATGATCATTGCTGAAGGTAACAGAACGTGACCCGAGGCTGCCCGTGGCTACGCGCGATAAGCGCTAGCGACGGCTCGAGCCACTTCACCGATAAAACGTCGTTTTGCCTCGACTAACATGAACCAACTGGACATGAAATGATCTAAACTGAACAAATAAACATGAATTGTACGAGAGTTGTTGGGTAAAACAAAAAGTTATTCGATCACGATTTACTTTAAGCATAATCGGACTTTAGCACGGCTTTACTAGAAATTCTCGAACATGATTCGAACACTTAACCTTATTATGACCTTACTAACATAATTATAAGATGAGGATAACGATACCTTCGTAGATGCTCGTCGGAATTTATAAACCGATCGCGACCTCCGCTAGTACTCGCGTGCGCCCGTGTGTATGCTTCGATCCTTGCCGTGCGTTACTTCGGTATGTGTCGTGCGATGAGGAGTATATAAAGCTTAAGATGACAAGCTGAGTTACTTGCTAATATTTGAGGGTAATATGCTGAATATGGCTTATAGGAAAGTGAGGAAAAATTTCGTCCAAGCACCTCCTTTTATATTAGGGCCGAGGGGATGGTGGTGACGTCTATGAGACGTGGCCTCCTATCATGCTCACACTTGCTTGCTAAGGAAAATAATTTAGCATGACTAATCCTCACACATTAAGTCCCCTAATAACACGTGTGATGGCTTAATGGATGGAAGGAAACTAATTCCTTAAGTCTTAGGAAAATTGGGAAAGTTTGGAACATGTACATACCTATAGCTCACGACATTTAGGAAATTGATTGGAAAACAATTCCAAATCATGCACGGCTTTAAGCCCTAGTAATATGATTAATATTAGTTAATCACTTAATTTATGTTTAATCATTTAATTAAACATATTGCTTAATTATCAAAATTATTCCGAACGTAAACGGTACGTCAAAAATAAATTTCGGTAATCTCAACTGAAAATAATCAATTCCAAAAATAATAATCAATAACGTTATTATATCGGAACTAGAATATAATTTATACCGATAAAATATCGGGATATTACACTATAGCTCCCACGATTGTCTGCGATGGTAACGATCAATTTATTGTGATCGATTATGGACTGCTTCTGAAAACATCATGGAATGGCTCGTTAACATCGTGAGGGGATTATAGTGTCGTAATTCTTCAAGTCGAGCTTCGATCGTCTCCCAAAATTTGAGCAAATGTTGCAACTTCTGATACACACATTGATTGGTTAATATGGAATTAGATGACACACAACCAGGTATCTTGAATTCGGTCGTCACTTATGTATATTTTACTTCATATATATCAATTTCAAGAAGATTTATTGCGAAAGGTACGACATGCTAATTAAACTGCATAAGTTTTTATTTGTATTATAGTGTCCAAGCATATTCTCGTAAATATGATTAGAGTATTCTCATGAATGTGTACATGTTGATATAAAGTGCATGAAGTATGAAATATAGTGCATCATAGTGACCTAAATGTGCACCTTACTACCTTTGGACTTCATATATGAATATATATGTGAGCATATATATTTTGTTTTTTTTTTTTAGATATCTGATTGATTTTCATAAAATGTTACAGTACCAACACCCTCGGGCCATCACAACACCACCAGCTCGTGATAACACCTGGAGGTACTAAATAAATATTGGATTTCCCAGTGCGAAGAATCGATTCGGGCTCACAAAGGACAGGTTTTTAGAACATTAAGTGAGGCTGTTGATTTCTACCGAACATATGCCTTTGCCGTTGGTTTTGATATTAGACAAAGCACGTTGGTAAAAGTGAAGGATAAGACCATTCTTTGGAGATATTTGGTGTGCTCGCGCGAAGGTTACAAACACCATTCAAACGCTGGCCAAAGAATACCCAGCGAGAGTCAGGTAATAAGTCATAGAGTATCCAATCGGGTGGGATGTAATGCCCGGATTGTGTTGCGTGTTTATGGAGTCGAGGGCTACGTAGTTAAATTTTTTGAGGAAAGGCACAAACACACCATGACCCCTGAAGAATGCAGAGCACATTTGAAGATCAACAGGATAATGACCGCGACACATCAAGGATTTGTTCTCAATTTCATAAAAGAAAATATAGGGCCCACAAAGTCGTTCAAGCTGTACAAAGAAATTGTTGGGGGATATACGCATATTGGTGCCACCAATGTAGACTTTAAAAACTTCAAGAGAGAACTCCTTGCATACATTTTAGGAGCCGATGCTCAGATGGTGATAGATAAGTTTTATAAACTGCAGGAGAACAGTTGGACATTCTATTTTCAGTACGAACTGGATGATAAAGAACGCTTACGGAGGCTTTTCTGGGCTGATCCAATATCAAGGCGAAACTACGGCTCTTTCGGGGATGTTGTGTCCTTTGATGTCACGTATAGCACCAACAAGTAATGATATTTCACGTTTTTTGTTTACATTAAAAAAAAGTGCACAACTATGATATACTGATGTTATTATTAATTATTTTTTGTAAGGTACAATATGGTGTTTGCACCTTTCACCGGGATAGACAACCACAATAGATGCATAACCTTTGCAGCCGCTCTTATATCAAAAGAAGACGTGAATTCGTATGCATGGGTGTTTGAGAACTTCAAGAATGCCATGATTCGGGAGCCGAACTATATAATTACTTACCATAATTCCTCTATCGGAATCGCCTTTGCCAAGGTATTCACGACTAGTAGACACCGGTTTTGCATGTGGCACATAATGAATAAGTTGTGTAATAAGGTCGGCACTCTTTAACTAAAGACACCAATTTCAAACGAAGGTTAAATAAAATTGGTTGATCACGTTGCATAGAGCCTGTGTAACGCCCAGAATAATAGTTACTATTTCTGGAGCTCGACTTTATTTCCATAAATAGTCAGTTTCCTAATTTGATGCATTTATTTTATTTATTTGCATTAAATTGAGCATTTAGTATTAAAATATAAGCCATGGAGAATTTATTCGATTTAATTATTAAAGTCGGATTTCTTTAGCCAAGTATCGGTTCTATTTTTGAAACCGAGCCTTGGAATGGTCAAACAATCTTATTAAAGCGGACCGTAGCCGAATAACTAATTTATTCGAGCTCAATCATTTTCGAACGAGTCCAACTATTTTAGTAGGCCCATTTAAGTTAACCGTGCCCAAGTTTGATGTTATTTTAGTCCATTTTTAAATTCGAACCCCACTTATTTCAGTAAGTGGACCGACTAATTTACTTAGTCCAAGTTTAAATAATCTTCTTAGTCGAGCATTTAATTCCTTAGTCGATATTCGATTTAATTGAGCTTAAGTCGAATTAAATTACTAGCCGGTGTTAGGATTGTATAGCCCGATTGTATTAAATCCTAAGCCCAAGACTAAAGCCCGATTTTGAGAAGTCCAATTATACAAGTCCAAGCCCAACTACTACAAACCCTAATTTTCCCTCATTTCCACATATATATATGACATTATCTTGTAGCCACCAAATGTCATCTCCTAGCTCACTTCACCTTCCCAACAACAACCATCCTCCACTCAAGAAATACGGCCACCACCTCGATTTTCTGGAAAGGCCTTCCTGTTGGCGAGTTCAAGGAGACCCGAAGCCACCTCATCCACGGCGCACCCACCTTCACAGCGAGCCCGCTTCCAAGCCAAGCTCCTGTCGGTTTCTTCACGCCGCCGCCTCAGCCACGGCCAGCTTACCTCGTCGAGCCACCGGCGACTCGACCTTCACGCCGGCAGTCGCGGTTCTAACCCCAATCGAGCCAAAGTCGCCATCCCGCCGTATGTTCAAGCAGGTCCACGGCAACCCGCCCTCAGCTCCGTCGTTACTCGTATGTTCACGCCTTCCCGTCGCCGGTAGAGTCGAGCCCAGCTGTCGGCGACCTCGCCCTCACCGAGCTGAGCTTCCTTCACGCCATTATCAGCGATTCGCAGTACCACGACCACCTCGAACAGCCCTTTAAGCTCGCGTTCCCGGTCACACGCACCACCATATCTGGCCCCAACAGTACCCGTCAACCTCAGCTCGTCTCCGGCAGGTCCACACACAGCAGCCCAAGCCTCTGTCCGTACACCGGCAGCTCCGTCCGTGTGAGTTCGGGCAGGTTCAGCGACGAGCACGCCCTAGCCAACGAGAACCGAGCAGGTTCAGCATATTTTCAACCCAACCCAGCCAGGTTCGAGTCATCAAAATTCAAATCCGAGCAGTTCAGCCCAAAACAGATCTATTTCAGCAGCCCCGACTTGGTTTGCAAGATTTAATCCAATCCCTAACATTTTCCCGAGTTTTGATTTTTGTTGCGAACCCCTCGGGAAGTATATCAGCTGAAACTTTACTCCATGGCATCAGACATCGATTATAGTCAATTATAAAAATGAGTTTGGGAATTTTCGTGCAGTATATGAATTTATATGATTTTATCGAGTAAAATGGCAATAAACTCGTAATAAATAGTGGGCTAACCAAACAATTATTAAACCAACTCGATAAATCATAATTCAATGTCTTGAGGCTTAGGTGCAAATTTGAGAATTTTTGGAGTACGTTTGATAGGCGAACTGATTTTGAGAAATCGGACCGTTAATGCTCATTTTTAGTTTGAGTTAGGGGCTGAATTTAGATGTGATAATTTGACCATAAATCATTAATATGCTGAGGATGATGTGGTTAAAATTTCATAAATTTTGGATGTCGTTTGTTATAATTAAAAATCGGGACTTTAGTCGGTAAAATGTGATAATTGTAGAAATTAGCCGGTTGTAATTTAAGCTGCAGTTGATGGATATAAAATACTTATAAATAACCTAGAAAATATAATACAAGTCTCGACATTAAATGAGTAAGATTTTTGAGAATCAAAAACCCTAGTTTTATTCGATTCTAATAACCGAGTATCCCTTAGTCGTGGTCCAAGCACGCCCCTGCGTCAGTGACCGTGGCACCATTTCAAACCCGCGCATCGACTAAGTCGTGTCAGTCGAGTTCGTGCCGACCCGAGTTGCCACGCCGACCTCGGACCACGGTCAAACCGAGCTGCACATAGGCAAGCGAATGATCGATCGACTCCGAGTGAGTCGTCGGTCCAGTTCAGCCGAACCAGTCCGGGCAGTCCGGACTGTTCGAAAAGAATTTCAGTTCAACTGAATCAGTTCGGGCAGTCCAGACGGTTCGAGATCTTTCAGATAGAATTTCAGAGATGGAATTTCAGATATATATTTTAGAAAAAAATTTAGATATCTTTCAGATAAATTGCAGATCCAATCAGATTAAGATTTCAGATATGTTTAAGATTTAAGATAGATTTAAGATCCAGATATGCTTAAGATGTCAGTCAGATTAGATTAATTCAATAAATTTTCAAAAATCAGCTCGTAAATCCCTAAAATGATATAAAAGCCGAGTGAGCGAACCTAGTCAGCTCAAATAATATAATTCAAGTTTTTCAGTTTAAGCTAAGTACTTAGAATATATCTTGTGCATATATTTTGTAGCTTGTGGAGAGTCGAGCCTCCGACAGTTGCAAACCATTCAGCACTTGCATTTCAGCATAGCAGGTGGGGACCCTGTACTGAGTACTACACTTTCTATAATCGCAATACCATGGCTGAGGTATGTATGTAAGATTCTGCCCGAATAGGGGCAATTTCCTAGCGAGTAGATCCTTTTTAGCTAGGTGAATCGAACGTTAATTAAGATGAGATAAGAATTCTAGTGCAGCTTTGAGTTAAGTGAATTCAGAACCCTAAAGCAGCCTTGAGTTAAGTTTAATTTCAGATGATCTTAGAATAATTCTTCCCTAAGGGACATTGATCTAGAGATAGGTTCTGTCATAACCAAGTGTTTCGAATCCCTAGTTAGTATCAAGGACTCTAGTGCAGTTGTGTGTTAAGCTCCAATCTTAGAAGTGCATAAGAGTTAGTTTTGCCCTAGTATGGGCAACGACCTACAGATTAGGTCCTACAATTACATATAGTCAGTTGAGCAGCAGTTATAGACAGTATACGTATTTGTACGCAATTGTGATGTGTTCTATCATAGTAGATGTATATTTAGGTTGTGATGTGTTTTATCATATTAGATGTATGCTTAGGTTTGTGATGTGCTTATTATACCAGATGTATGTTTAGTTCGCAATGTTGCAGTTATAGTCAGTCAGTCGAGCAACATTTTTAGTTAGTCAGTTGAGCAATCATTATAGTTAGTCAGTTGAGCAGCAATTATAGTCAGCCAGTCGAGCAGCCATTATAGTAGTCAGTTGAACATCAATTATAGTTATCCATTCGAGCAGAAATTGTAGACAGTCAGCTGATCAGCGGTTATAGGAAGTTAACTAAGTAGCAGCTATATATAGTTTGCCGACTTAAGTGTTTATTGGATGAAGGTTTAATCCTTAGTAAAATGAACATCATCATATCGTTTTTGCCTATCCAGTAAGTACTTGCTTATATACGGATGTCATGATATGTTATTATATTAGCTGTATATTTCAGTGCTGGTTCTGGCGGAGCACGTGGATTATTTATGCTCACGTCCCCCACTAACCATTTTTCAGGTGACGGTGTTGAGCGTGGAGCGTGAGCCGATGATGTGGTGGTGGTCATAGTAAACATGACATGTATATTTTAACATGCTTGAGTTATTTTTCTTTGTTGATGCATGCCTACATTTGCTTCTGCACTCAGTATTTCAGTATCTAGAATTTCAGTCTATGCATGCTTAAATCCTGAGATGTTTAGAGTAATAAATTATACTCGGTTGCATGCCTAGTAGTTTAAAGATATTAAAGATTAAATATTAAAGTTGAGTAGAATCCCACATATTAAAGTTAAAGTACTTTCGAAAAATTAATATGAGTTTTTGAAAATTAAAACAGATTTTCCTTTTATAGCGCGAAAAAATTTACTCTGACTTTAGTCAGTCTAGGCGGGGTGTTACAGCCTGCTGAAATAATACACGACTATTCATTGGAAATCCACAGTTGGTTTATTGATCTGTTTGCTAAGAGAGATCATTGGATACCAGCATATTATAGAGATGTAAGTATGAGTGGGATGATGAGAACTACGTCTAGGTCTAAAAGCGAGAACAATTGGTTTAGTAGCTTCACGAATAGTCACTCTAGTTTGGTCGAGTTCTTATTACATTTTGACAGTGCAATGGATGCGCAACGGAACACATCAATGAAGTTATAGTGTAATAGTGAAATGCATACGACCCAGTTAAAAACTCCTCTGTTCATTGAGAAGTATGCCTTAGATTTATACACGACAACAATATTTTATCGTGTGCAAAATGAAATATGTGACGCGTGTTACAAATTTCGGGTTATGAAAATTACTGAAAATGACGGTCACACCACATTTATCATCAGAGATTGTGACGGAAAAACCTTTACAGTAATTCACGA